CTCTCTTAACAAATAAACTATCCTGGTCTTACTGTCTTTCCAGCTATGAAGAGCTACTTCTACCACTCTCTTACCACTTTCTTCCCTGTATTTTTCTAATATGTCACTTTTTTCAAGGTGCTGATAAAATGGCAAATATTCATTGAGGACCTCTAAGAGAAATATATGCTGTAATATTTTTTTCCATATTGTTCTGTCTTTAATACAGCCTAACATCTTATTCGCTTTCTTGACTGCAACTACACATTGAACAGATGTCTTCATCAAGCTGTCCATGGTGATGCCTAGATCGTCCCCTTGAAAGATCACAACTAATTCAGAATCCACCAGAGCATGTATGAGTGGGTTTAAAGCCTTTCCAGTATTCATTGCCTTGGGTTTACTTTCTGTTGATGTTCACCTGCCACTGAATTGCCATGTTTACAAAGTTAGTTAGCTTACCCTGGCACTCACCATCTTCCCCAGTGCTGACAAACCTAGTAACTTCTATGGGCACTGGCTTTTGCCATCCGATTACACTGGAGTCTTCAGTTTCATGTATGTAATTCACTCTTCTTACCAGTGATGAGCACAGCATACTCCTACTAACTCTTACTCAATCTGATCTCTTCTGTTTCTTGTCTCCTGTCTTCTATATTGCATTTTCTTTTTAAGCTCACTTAGAGCACTGAAGTCATCAAGTTATAACTGTCTGCTTTATTTCAAATAATTTGCCTACAGAAAACTGTCAGTTAAAATGTTGTTATAAGCTGCTTTTTTTTTTTTTAATTAAAACAATCACTTATTTTGTATCCCTTTCAGAGTATGTAAAACCATAGCAAAATGATTCAAACCATAAAACCAGGCTGGTACAAGAGAACAAATGTGTTGAGAAACATACGTGAATCTGTTCTCCCTGAGCTTGACTTCACTGGTTTCTGTGGAGTTATTTCTGTTACTTGAGATCAGTTTCATTAAAACTTGATTTGAGATCTTCTTAGTCTAGATACAGTAGCTAGAATCACGCCCCAAAGCAAACTTGTTTTAAATTTCTGTTTGTGGCAGAGATGGAGCAGATGTATTACTTGGTCTCTGACCAGCAACCAACTGGGCTCAGCCATACTTAGTCTAACATACCTGTTGTAGTATTTAACTGGACATTGAAATTAAGATTATAATATTTGAGATGAAGATGAGTGCAGCAACACTGGGGGGGCAGGCTTAGTCTTTGTGGTTTGTTTCATCTCTTCACATTCCCATTTTGTGTTTTAAAGATCACACATCTGTAAATAAGGTTAAGTCTCTAAGTGGTGGCTGCATTTACCAGTAATGTGATGTTTATAAACACAAAGGAGGTGTTGTAAGGGAAGACTCAAGCCTGTTAGGCTTAAGAGCTGCATTGTCTCTGTATCAGAATACTGTATCATATAGAACAGCTGCTTTTCAGAACTAGTAACAACATGTGGTTGAGAAGAACGTACCTTGGATTTTGCATCCAAATAAACTGTACCTGTTAGGTGTTCTACCCCAGCAGTTACTAGTAGTCTGTCAAACAATTGTGGCTGCTGGTGGTTTCTAAAGTTGGCAAAGGGGAGCTGAGTAGTTTTTGTTGTTTTCATGGGGGTGGGAAGAGAGCAGAGGCAGTATTATCTGTCAGTTGTTAGACTGTAGTACTTTGTACCCTCTCCCACACATCTAAAGGACTCATCCCTGCTGTTAAACTTTTCACAAGCCCTGTTTTGCCTGTCTAAATCCTTGCTGTGTTCTTTACTAACCATCTAGTAACCTTCAGGACTGACTAGTTCTGACTGTGTGCTGTGTCTTTAATGTGGAAATTAGGTAAAAGGCAAACTGGCTTTGTAAATGGGCATGACAGTGTTTTCTAGGTAATGGGCTCTGCTAATTTTTTTTCTGCAACTCAAAGCCCAACAAAACCCTCTTGCTTTGACCTTTGCTTTACCCTAGAGTATTCCCTCCTTTTGTTCATCTACATTACTACCATGCTAAGGATTTCTAGTCAGATGCCTGAATTATTCACCAGTTGTTTAGGAGTCCTTGCTTACAGAGCTGCTTTCTGAGTCTGGATCATGCTGTTTTTCTTCAGTTAGGGCTCTAGCATCACAAACATGGCTCCATCTGTTGCAAAATTGCTTAGCAAGTCAATGTGATCTCCTTGAACCTCAAAGGCTACAGGGTAGCATACAGCAAAATGAAGGCAGTAGCGCTGGTGACAGTACAACACATTTCAGCTATGAAAAGCAGTAGAGTTGCATGACTGGTAACATGCTAGCTCAAACAAAACTGTCTTATCTGGACAGCACAGTCTAGCCCAAAGCTAGACCATTTTTATTTTTTTAATGAAGAGATTACTGAGTAAAAAATAGCGAGAGTTACTTTAAGTGAAAAAAGATGAAACTGAATTTGCTGTCAACAGCATACCAGAATGTCTCACCACCAAACTTAACCTGAAGAAAGGAAGATTAAAGCCCTTTGAGTACTTCTTGTAGTACAAGAGAAAAAATGACACTGGCTGGCTGGTAGCCCACTAAGCACAGCAGAAACTGTTGCAGCAAAGTAGAGTACAATATGATCTATTTCTGAGAATCCCTGTGTGGCCCCCCCAGTTAACACAGGAACCTAATATTTATATATGTTTATAGTCATAATTTAAGTTCAAAACCTGAACTATATATATTTTTTCTCAGTAGATTTTTTTTTTGAATCCTGGTTTACTTATCATGGTTTCTGCATATGATAACTTCTAACTGTGCAGTGCACACACCTGTTGTTATCCTTTCCTCCCAGGTTAGAGTAACAGTATCAAACTCTGTAAAGCACTTTTGTGATGTTTCCTGTGAAGAAAGCTGAAGAAAATAAATTTAACACCACCAACTGAATTTATACCTCCACGTTTGTCTGTTGTTGTGTTCACCCCCCTCTCTTCAGTGATTCTGAGCTGTCAGTGTGATGGACAGCAGCATGCTGGTTGTGAGGATGTTGTTCTAGGCTTCAGCACAGAGGAGGGGCTGGCACTGGCTGTAACAGCTGCTTTCTGCCTGGGTTCCCTCGGGCACTCCCTCCCTCCTGTCCTTCCTTCACCAAAGCTGCTTTAGTGCCCACTGAGTGTGGATGTCCACCTGGGCAGTGCATGCCCTTGGCCTGTTTTTGGCACATACCTATGTGCAAGCTGAGCAGATGGCTGGAGAAGAGGTAATGCTCAGATCCCACCTTTCTGGTTCCACTGGGGGTTGCTGTGTGTGTCATTTTAACTGCTCTCCTCCCCTGCCCCCAGGATTCACAGCAGCTGCAGGAACTGTGAGTCTCCAAGACTACTTTAAAGCTTAGCTACATGGGTCAGGGAGTGGTTTATCTGTAAAGTGAGAACAGCACTACCCTTCCAGTGCAGCTGCTTCTGAGGACTGGGAAGAAGAAAAAAAAAAAAATCACATGACCCTTAGGTCTCACCTACTAATACCCACACCTATTCACAATGCCTGCAACACAAAGCAGCCCTTTGGAGGTAGAGCAGAGAATTGCCAGTGAAATACAAAGGTAATTAATTCAAAATGTGATTTAAGGCATTAACAGCAGCATTATTTTGAGTGTGTGGCCTTTGAGCATGTCAGAGACATTTGACATCCACAAACAGCAAAAAGCATCAAGCTGTTAAGATCAAGAAAAGCAAAGCAGGTGATAAGACTGTAGTCTCTGCAACTCAATATAGCAACCTTGCCACAGCCTAAGAAGCCCCTGCTGATAGGGGCACTGATTTCACTTTTTAAAAAGAATCAAATCCCTCACATTCGTTGGTGGCTTTCAGTCCTTCCTGACAGTTCCTTCAGGTCATCCCAACAGCATGTTGTAGAGCTTGGTGACAAAACATCCACTGTGCTTAAATACGAAGCAGAAGCACAAAGCACAGTCGAAGCATAAAGGCAAGCTGCATTCCTGTTTTCTCTCACCTGAGTCTCCCACAGCTCAGGCCCCAGCAGCAAGAGGTTAGTTCTCCCCAGCCTAGAGCAAGATTCTCCAGATTGCATAGTGCTTAAGATGCTTGTGGTTCCTCCTTTCTTGTATATGCAAGGGATACTGACACAAAGACCTTCTATAAAACAGTATTCATCAACTGGAAGATAAAAGTTGAATAGACCCCTGCCTTCAAAACAACAAAAAGGCAAGTTAAATAGACTTTAAAGATGTTACATGTATTTCCCCAGACAACTCCAGTGGTCCTGTGCAACTGGATGGTGTGCTTTTCTGTTCAAACAGGCTGCAGCAATTCTAGCTGCTTAAATACAGCTCTTCAGATTTCATAAGCACAAAGACTTTTATCCAGCCTAACACAGTGCACCTCACATACAGGAAGTTCAGTTAATAGAGACTCAGACCCCATAGTTACTAAAAAGTCAAACAGTTTGTCAAAGATTGTGGAACATTTCCAGCTGCTGGAAATGAATGTCTTTGAGTCCGCAACAGGAACAAGAGGCAGAACAAAGAGGGAGCACGGTCAGGCAAACTTCACCTCTTGTCAAACCAAGCTGGTTCTATGTTTGCTGAACAAATTCATTAACACTCAGAATGGCAGAACCTCTACAGCACTTCTGTTTCATAGAAATAATTTATTACACCCACTATTAGTACCAAAATTTACAAGCCAGTTGTTCTTTTTGTCCAGTTTCTCTTCCCACACCCCCAGTAGAAAATACCAAAAGAGGAAAAATTCATGTAAAACCCAAGTCCATTACTGTGTGGGAAATGCAACAGCATTCTCGTCAACTGGTATTTTCCCCACAACACATGGATAAAAGATGCGACAGGCATCTCACAAAGTGCTTCTCAACTATTATTATACAATGGTGCCCCTAAACAAAGTTACTGCTGGGACACTTACCATAACATTTTGGAGACAAAGTATTTTTTTGATGAATTGTTGCCACATTTTTAGATGCTACTGATAACTACAGCAATCTTTCCTATGAGTATTACTGTAAACTTATTTTAATCTCAGGACAAATTAGAAGTGAAACTCAAAGCTTTTAATGTTTGTGGTGAGAATGAAAAAAATATAAATATGAATTTTAAAAATGTACAAATGAAAACCATGGAATTTCCTCAGTGTATTCTGGATCGCTTGACTCTGCTCATCTCTCCCAGTGCTTTTCTTTTCTGGGATAATCCAGTTCCAAGTTCTGTGTTAGTCTGAAGGTAAGAATCAGCTTCTGGCAGGCAGTAAGAGTCCATTGGGGGAGGTGGATCCTTCAGAGGAAGGAAAAAAAACAAACAAACATGGTTTAGCTCAAGAAGCTTCTAAGAAGAAACAGCTCATTAGTTTTCTAAAATTGAAAATAACAAAATGAACATTACACACCTACTTTTTTAACGTTTTGCAAGCTCCCTATTCTCCCTATCCTGCAACAGATCCCACTGCCAGCACCAGAACAAGTCATGTTATAACAGCTAAAATTTGAGGCCACGGATCAAAACACTTAGCATAGGCACTTGTGGCCAGAATTCCTGGCCAAGCAGGCACACAACCAGTACAGCAGCAGTCCCTTTCAGAGGCGTCAGGTGGCTGGGGCCGCTGGAGGCAAGGGGCCTGCCCCCTCTGCCTGTGGGGCAGGTGAGGAGCACTCCCAAGAACCCCTGGGCATGCACACCTGGATGAGGTAGTCAGCGATGTACTCCGGTTTCAGGCAGTTCACTCCTTGGGCTGCCGCCTCCACTACATTAACCCTGGTGTTGTCTGGCTTCAGCTTACTGAAGTCAGCAAAGAGATGAGTTGCTTCTTTAAAGAGACACACAGAATGACCAGAAAACACCTACAGATTAAAACACGACAGACAAAAGTGACTTTATTTCTGTGGTTCTTCCCCAAGACAGATGCAGTTCTGTAATGTCATTCATCAAATTAACTAGCAAACCGATGGGAAATAAAATACCATTTACAGTTCCATTCTGCACCATCAGGTGCCTTTCAAGAAGGGTGATCCTTCTCAGAGTGCAGCACAAATTCTATCCTCAGTTCCCAGCAGCACCACTGACTTGTGACCTCAGACAAGCTGCCCTGCCTGACCACATGCAAAATGAAGATGACATAACTTTTTTCTCCCACCCTTTGACCATATCTCAGCTATCCTGTATAAGTAATTTTGTCAGCTAAGACCTTTTACTCACATAGAAAAAGCCCAGCACAGAGTTTAACAGGGGAAAAAAAAAAAAACACATATGTGTATTTAACAATTTTTTTCAAAAAACTGCATACTTTTGCTCCTCCTGACTGAAGAAGGCGCCTGAATCCCGCTTCCTTGGTTTGATCAACATTCAGGATCACTTTCCAGCCACTGAAAGCTCCCTAGATAAAAGACTCAATTTAGTTGAAAGTACATCAGTACTAAAAAAGCACAAAGACTTAATGGATCTATAATTTGCCCCTTTGGGGAATATCCAGATAAAGATTTGCTATCACCTAGTTTTACCTTTAAATATAAATGGCACAAAACCACCCACAGAACATAGAACTATTGGGGCATCACCATACAGTCAGGCCGCTTGCCCCCAAGCCCTTTCACCTGCATAGGAAGGTGGGCAAACTGATCTATGAAAAGGCCCTTGGCAATGAGTGTTTTTTCCAGAACACCAGACGCTCACCTACAGAAACACATCTCAAGAAAAACAGTTACTTGGAAACAACATTTCCCCTCCTACCCCATGCACTACATTATCTACTCAGTTACAGTAACAGCACCTAGGGCCAACTGGTTGCCTTTGACAAGCACTCACAATGGTTTCCAAGTAGGCAAGGGGTACAGAGGATTGGTTTCAAGCATTCATTTAAAAAGGTTATTGTAAAATACATGCAAGTCAAGACTCATCCTAATACGACTGAAACATCAGCAGTATTTCTACTTTTTGACGAATACTCAACTGCAATGCCTGATTTGAGAGAGAAGTTAAAAGGCTTTGGGAAGCCCAATTCCCACTTTGAAAAAATCTCACTTGGAAGACTATGAAACTTGCACCGTAAAAATCATGGAAGGTGCAAACTTGTGCCATGTTTGAAATACAACAGTATGCTCACTGCTAGAGCTATGAAAATGCTGTCCAGAGCTGTATACAACTATATTGCACAGCACAGGATTTCTAGCTGCTACTGCCAGTACCAGTTTGGTTTCCTCGTAAAGCTGAGTTAGGTTAGCTCCCCAATCAGTGATCCGAAGTGTAAATATCACCTTCAGGGCCAAGGGATGTTTACTTACGTAAGTAGCCACGTTCCAGCTTTGCACAAAATGAACAATGGTTCAGGAGGAGATCAAGGTTTTTGATATGACAGCACTAAGTTTTTTTAAAAACAAAAATTACTTAGCTAGAATATATCCAGCTAAGCCATTTTGTTCTTAATAACAAGGCAGATTACCTTTCCCTGCCAGTTAAGTTTCTGAGTTTCTTGGTGACAACCCCTGTCCTGTCCACTCACACTAAAGAACTTACGGGAGTATCTAAATACCTCAACAATACCAGTTTCTTGCCTCCCTTTGTGAATTTTTTTCCTCCACCTCATGGCTGCGAGTGCTAGTTTCTTCTGGTTAACATTGATTCCAGGCAAAACATTAAGTATGGAATTGCTTCCCCACTCATAATCTTCTTCCTAGAACAATCACAAGCTTGAGTTACAAAGCAGTCCTCCCAACTTTACTAGCAAAAACATAAATTAAAAAAAAAAAACAACACACCAAAATGAAACAAACAAACAAAACCCAGAACAAATCCCAACTCACTCTAGCTTTATATATTGATTTTATCTGGCCAAAACAGTTCTCGTTAAAATTAAGAATTTAATTAAATTAAGAATTAGTTCTCATTAAAATTAAGAATGCTTTTAATTGCACATGTGTACCTAAATCAACGCATGCCTTCTGTGACATCAAGTCACACTGCAGACAACCAGATTCCTCCTGCAATGGAATTCAACAGCAGGGCAAAGCAACTCACTACTATGAACACAATTGACTCTAAATTTCTGCAATGTCTTCCAAAACAGTGAAAGTTGATTGTGATGGATAAAAGATATGAACCAGTCTACAGGTATTATTTTAAAGTTAGCCTGGTCAATGTAAAAGAACTGCTAGATCCAGGAGAAGTGTGAAATAATGGTTAGGGCAGTGAGGAGTTGGAAGAGAGTGTTCAAAAATGTTTATGTATGTGGTTACAGAGTTGGATCACTTGAAATTATTATGTTCATTTATTGAAAGGATCAGGATTTAATTCCTGGTGTGACAAGATCCACATAACTTTAGCTGATACCAGTGAGAATTTACCAGAAGATACTCAAGCTTCCATTTTCAGAAGCAACTATAAAAATACAGGTATTTTATTTGTCCTATACCAGCAGTTTGGTCCAGGACTAGTTTTCAGAGAAAAGTTTGCCAAAAATTTCTCAGACTTTGGGTCATCTAAAACTCCCAAAGCTCAGGCACCCCAAAATTGCTTTTGAGAGCTTAAGTCTTTTCCTAGTACTGCGAAATAAAAGGAAATGACAAAAGGTGCAACATACTCATTTCTCAATAATAAATCACATGCCTGAACAAAGCAGCCAGCTCCTCTACATGCCTCCAGGTAGGAACGATGAAGCACCCACTTTCCAGCTGCCATCGAAGCCAAGAATTTTTCATTTCGAAGAGGATGTCCCACAACAATGTGCGTGCAACTTGGATCAAAGCACTGTTTCTCAAGTACTATTCCACCTTGGAAGTGAGGAATGAATTCAATTCAAAAATATTTAAGGGTCATGCTGTACCAGAGAAAGGATCAACTCAAAGGGAGAATTATCTGAATTCAGATAAAAATATACTTAACTCAATTTACACTGAAAATATTATCATTGAAGTGACATGGGCAGAAGCTGGCAAGAAATGAGGAGCAGTCAGGATAGAGTGGCTCTGGTAAAAATGAAATGCCACTGTAACACAGACAGGAATGAGAGAGACACCAGAAGACAGCAGATCCTGGGTACTGACAACAGTAAAGAATGAGGCTGTTGTGGAGACAGCTAAAAGAAACTGCCAGAAGACAAAACCATTGCTGTTTTATGGCAAAGCTGATCACTCATCATAATATATTCAAAGAATCACTCACAAGCACAGAAAGCCATAAATCTGAGATCTCAGATCTGATGAGTCTTTAACAGAAGCCCTTTCTTTTCCCCAACAAGCCATAGCTGACCAGCTTAGAGACACATACTATTCTTTGCATATTACAAATATCTGGTACCTAATTCCTCAATCAGATGGCAGTAATCAAATCTTTCTTGAGGATTAAGAGAAGACAGCTGAAATTTACGGTGTTTTTCTGGTTCTTCATCAGCCTTCTCATCTTCTATAACAGCCTGGAAACACAGTAACAGATTTTGAAAATATTACAGAAAGATTACGTCGACAGCTGACTACTTCTCTACCAAACAGTCTGGGTTTAGCCAGGAAAAGCAGAACCAAACCTGTCAATCACTTGACAAAAGCTTGGATCTTAGCAAATCAATGTTAGGCTCTTTCTTAACATCCTATTGGTTCCCCCTTTCTTCAGGGGGCAACTGAGCCAATCTGTCATAAAAATTAATTCTCCTTCACATCCACCGATTGCCAAATTGAACACATGAAGAAATCATCATCCATCTATTACACTGCCTCATTCATTCAGGCTTTCTATAACTTCAAGGGTCTTTATGCATTTCCACCACAGCCTATTTACTAACACGACACATTATGCTTCTGAAGACATAAAGCTGCTGAAAGTTTGAGCATCAAGTGATACACCGCATACAAAAGACTACACCCATTTTCCTAGCCCCTTCCAAGTTCACTATAAAAAAAAAGCAGAATTTTAAACCAGGTTTTTGTCAGAAAAATAATTTTCACTTTGTAGCAAAACATAAATTCTAGATCGCACCAAGGAAACAGAAGTCTAAACTTTTTTCCATCACCCCAACATGGCTGGAGGATTTCCAAGTAATACATGCAGTAACTCTCCACTCTAAAGCCCACCTCAGCATGCCAGCAGGAGCTAACAGGACAAAAAGCTTTATTTGTCTGAACAAACAAGCTTTACTTATTTGAACAAACATTATTTGTTCAAAATATCAACGAAAGGAGGAAAAAGAATAGAACTGCACAAAAATAATCCACTTGAAGATTTTAAATGCAGATATTCACCTATTTTAAATTTATTGTCAAGTTCAAAAGTTCTTGACATGCCACTACATCTCGCAGAACACAAATAATCATAAACATTTCTACATGTGACAAACCTTTTCTTTGGGCTGTGGTGCCACAGGAGGGTTAGCCAGTGGGAAAGCAATGCTGGGGGCCTGCGGAGTGGGGATCAAGTGATCTTTAATCGGTGTTTCAGGATCCCTACATATAGGATTCTTTAGACCTTCAGTCAAATCTCCATCTCCAGCCTCGGGAACAGCTGTGAAAGTAAAGTGCTGTTACATGACTTGTATTTGGCTGAATGTAATTATGGATAAAGTAAAAAATACAATTTAAAAAGTAGCTATCCTAAAAGGACAAAACACAACTGCTGCTACAACATGTACAGTTACATTTCACTATTGCCTTTCTTAAAGATGCTCTTCCTTATACCACAAAACCAGCAACTGCAATATTGCAGACTCATGTGCCTGGATGCCTTGTTTTGAAAAAAAAAAAAAAAAAAAAAAAAACACAACAAACAAAAAACCCAAACCCCCAAATGGCCTAATTTCTTTGGCTAAACCGCCAACTGATTCAATTGAACCAAAAATCAACTGAATGCATTTAGCTAGTTTTATTAAACCTCCTCCAGGACAGGGTCAGTTTTCAGGAAGACTGTTGCCACAGGCAGAAACTCTGTAAGTAGATTGTGGGAAGGAGTTGGGGGCAGGAGAGAGGCAGTGGGGAAAAAGCAGTAAAGAATTCCGCTCTCTCTCAGGAGGCAGGAATAGGAGGAAAGCAAAAACAGATTAAAAAACTTAAGTGTGTTGCTTCCTTAGTCCTAGCAGTAGACTAAAGACTTCAAAAAGAACAGCAAAGATAAATACAGTATCTTCACCAAATCCTGACCTAAGCATGTCCATCAGCAGCTCTGACACATCTGGTTTTGGGCTCATGAGTATGTTCTTCCTGTATCTCCATTATTCACTTATGAATATTTCCACTACAATTAAAAAGACTCTACTACTGGTATTCCCATCTGAATTCCACTATATCTACCTGAAAACCAGCTGTGGTTCCAAGTAAAAATTTGGAAGATTTCCTAAAGTTGATGCAGACTACTTTTAAGACAAGCACTGCCTTGGCACTGGACCACAAGTGGCAAATGGATAGGCAAGCTTCTCTTTAAAAAACAGCAACACATAATGGACCTCAAAGATGTAAAATTGTATTTTTGACATTTGAGAAATGCCAACAATGCTCACTTTTTTTAACAGGAGAATTTAAACACTACTGTATTTTAAAAGTCCCAAAGATCAAATGGATGCTGTAGCAAAGAACAAGGATATTGTATTTCTGATTTTACCTATACCAGCAATCTCTGCATCAGCTAAAGATCCTCTGAAGGCAGACTCATCCATGTTCTTATTGACGTTACTCTGACCTTGCTCAGTGTACTGGGAAGGACTATCAGGCCACTGAAAGTTGCTGACAAGTCTTGCTCTCTCCTCCCTCGCAGTAGGATCGTCCCAGATGATCTGCTCACTCTGGGATGGCTCTGTATTTATATCTGTGAGTGCCTGACGGGATTGCCTAAGGAAAAAAGCATAGATACTGTAAACATTCATTAGTTTTATGGAAGACTACCATACCAGAAGGCAATGTGATAATGAGCATATCAACTATAGCATCCAAGTGACTTCATTATTAGAAAGCACGGCTAGGAAAGGGAAAAATTTCAGTATAAAAGCAACTTCAGGAGCTTGACTTTGTGGCCGTAAGTGTCAGCATGGATGAAAAAATAGGCAACCAAAGTATCAGTAGGAGATATTGTTATTATGTGTCATATTGATAAATTATTAAAAAAAATCAGTGTACTCTGCTCTTTATTGAACCTATTAATTTGCAAATAAACACCAAGCTAAAGGAATAATTTTGCAATGTTTCCATTACTTTCTCACTGTTAGGTCAGCACTGTTAAAGCTCAAATCCTAAGTCTCTGTTTAGAGAGAAAAGAAAAAGAAAAGAGAAACATTCACAGAGGTGCTTTGCAGGAATATCTACTACTTGTATATGAGCTATGTACTACAATACTGCAGCACTGCTTTCTTCAAAATCTATAAGAACACTAACTAATCCTAATCTGAAGAGAAAGAAAAATCAGTTGGCATAATTAAATTCAAAACTAAAAAAGCAATTATATTCTGTGATTTTTTTGAAAAACAAAAAGATACCTACTATGGATTAAGATAACATGCTGACTTTACCTAGCACGTCCAACTGAAGATTCTAAACTGCAAGAGAAGCAACTTAAGTATGTTAAGTAGTGAAATACAATACATCAGAAAACCCTGGAGACCTATTCATGTTTCAATGAATGTCTATGTGCAGGAAGGACAAAATAAAATACTCTGAAACACAAATCAATACCTTAGAGCTTCCAAGACCCTACTGCGGCCATTTCGCACAGAGCGTGTGCTATCAGGAGTGGTTGGAGAACCGTCAAAACTGTTCCTTGAAAGGGACCCTCTTTGCCCTTGGGGTTTCACTAGCGATGTGGCAGACATTATCTCCTGCAGCTGCCTTTGGAAGTTCTCCCTCATTTCTAGTGCTTGGGTTAAAACTTGAGAGAAGAAACAAAACTCACAAGATCAAGACTGTTGTATTGTAATAATTGAAAAGTAACTGAAATTCCAGTCAACTTCTCCCCCCACTCCTCCCCAGGGACAAAGACAATACATTAAGCA